TCCCAACCACTCACAACCCATTTCAACCACCTACCTCCGCTCCCCGACCACCTAGTCGACCTCCACCACTCATGGATTCAGCCCTAATGTGAGTTTGTGTTGTGTTTGTTGTAATTTCCCTTTTTTATTGATTGTAACAACCTATTTGTTTTCAGTAATAAGATTTGATTTTTTCATTATATTTTGGGTTAACTCCGGTATCATTTAATGTCAAAGCTAGTTTAACCTCAATCCTATCTTAAGGTTTCTAGCATCCACCAACAACCAATCATATCTCCACCCAAAACAATTTCTTTCCCACCCTACATCACCCCTACACACCCTTTCATCCCTCCGGCCCCAAAACCCTAGCCATGTCGCTTATGAGAATGTCACAAATGGATGTTCAGGAACTTACCATGGAAGAGGTGCAGCAGAAAATATCTCAAATATAACAAAGGTTTGTCGTCGAGAGGAGACAATCTTAAAAGGTCACCCGTAGCCACAATGGTGACTTACTAGATCGAAGACATAGAGTAAATCTCTTTCACCATGTGAATTCCAAGAATAAATAACCTCAACCCCAAAGATTTGGCATGAAATATCTGAGAAGCCAAAATTTTGAGGAACATTTGGATCACAAATACCTGAATTAGTCAGATTTTGAAGAACATTTGGATCAGGATGAATTCATTGAATGGCTTCAAACTGTAGATTTTTTTTTTTGTGAGTGCCATAGAGTTTCATCAGATATAATGTGAAATTAGCCACCAACAAATTAAAGGAGAGTGCGTTATTTTGGTGAGAAGATTTGAAGCAATTGTGCCAGCTTGATGAAAAAGATAAAATCACTCTCCAGTACAAGATGAAACAGATGATGCAGCGTCAGTACCTACCATCTCCAGACAGATCGGATGTTCACACCCTAACTTTAATAGTGGAGAGGTGACATCATTGGATGACCAAAAACCTTACAAGCAGAGTTCAACCATAACAGCTAGTTGCAATAGTATACCAAGGAGAACATCCAAGCACTCTCCTAAAGAGAAATTGATTCATAGTGGAGAACGAATAAAGCCAATCATTATTCCTAAATTCATCCAAGATAAAAAATATTTCAAGTGTCACGGATTTAGGCATACCGAATCAAATTGCACAACCAGAGAATGATATTTTCATTGATCAAGGAACAGTTGAAGAAATAAATAGTGATTCAAGAGAAGATAAAGATCTTAGAGTGGATTTTCAACCTCAAATCAACAAGGAAGAGACGCCAGAGATTACAAATGAAGTAGCAGTAGTTGTTCGAGAAGGGATTATGAGGTAATGAGCGTCCATGCAAAGTATGAGATTTTCGTGCCTCAAACAAAAGTTTTACACGAGTTGAGTGGAGCATCAACAAACTGGCATTGGAAGTTCAAAAGGCACATGAGTTCAAAGAATCAACACGAGAGGCATGAATATAAATAATTTTAGACTTTTCAGATATATATAGGGTACTTCCTGAGTTGTCCCTACTGAGAGAGGTCTAATATATCAGATGTGAGAAGCTTTTGAGCTACTTTTGAAAAACAGTATGGATACTTATCAATCCAAAACCCCGCACACATACACATAATGATGACTATGATTCTAATTATTCACATACCTAAGCTAATGCATTTAATAAAATAATTTGTGTTGAAATATCATTAAAAGTTTCCACTATATTACAACTTTAGTCTCATCTATCTACTACACTATATTCATTGCATGAACTATCAAATCATTAAGCCAAAACAGCCATGGTATCTTCCTCGATTCCACCCCCTTTTCTCTCAAGCTATGATGATGAAACATAAGATCTTTATGATAATACGCATGATGATTAAGACTTTGATGATAATTAAGAGATCTTACTTGCTAACTTTATTACTATGCTTAAAGTTGATTCTCACACATTATTAGAGGTTAAGCAAGAACCCATGTCTTATCAAGTGTTTAAGCCTAAGAACAGTTTTCGACAAGAAAAGCTATTTCCTCGAGTCAGTTGACTGAAGCCCCTTTCTTCAATCGCACCTACAATAGATTGAACTTGCATCATCACTTATTTAGTTATTGGTCTACATCGCAAAGATTTTGCAAGTTTATTAAGTTTAAGGCCACCCCAACACCCAAGCCTACAAATATTTGTGTTCTTCAACCCTCTTCATATGATTGTTCTATATATATTACAAGGACGCTTCTTCCATAAAATAATCAAGTAAAGCCACACCCTCCACACAAGCTGCCTCCTACAAACTCTTTGAAAAAAATATTCTTTATTGGCCAAATAAATTGATACAGCACAAATACTGAATTTTCATAAATCAACCAGGACGAGTCAAATCAAGCTTCAAAGAAGATGAATCGGGCCAATTTTCATGCTCTTTAGATTCTTTCAATATTTAACATTGCGCAATTGTGTATTGAGGCTTTTTTTTTGTTTGTGAGGAGAGGCGTAAGCCTCAAGGCCGTCAGAATCTTAAGCCACATAGTTTGAATATTGCATAAGTCAAAATAAAGATAAATAACATATTAACATCATAACTTATGGATATATTAAAGAAAGGCATATTAACATCCTAGCATAATAAAAGGTAACAAATTGCTGACGTAACAAATTACATATGCCTCAAAATATCATGTAAAAATTTGCATGAAATACAAATATAATACTAAATATCAATTGATCAGTCATCAATATAACATAAAACATGAGATGAAAGTAACATGAAATATCCAAAGTAAGACATAAGATGAGCTTATCATAATGGACTTCTCTCACTCATATTATCCAAAACATGTGCTTACATTTATAAATCTAAATAATAATATAATAAATAATAAAAAAACCATAGCAACAAGATGTAGTGGTCCAAGCGAAAAAGTAGCGAGCGGTGGAGGCGGCAACGGTGGTGGCAGAAGCAATTGATAATGCTGTGAAGCCCGACTAAGGAAAAGGGAGCTCTTGCACGAGAGAGTGCGACTTTGGTTCATATTCAAACCATGTAGTACAAGGGGAAAAAATTAACTGTGAGAGGCACACATCTCAGCGAAATTGAGGCTAGGTGCGCCATATGACGTGCCTCAACCAATGTGAGACATACGCCTCACCCAAGTTGTTTCAGGTGTACGCCTTAAAGCGCTTTCTTTCGAAATTTCATTCCGATGGGCCTCAAGAACTGCCTTAGACTACGTCATTTTAAGTAGTCAGTTCATTTTTCAATTTTCAGGTATTATAATCAAATTTGTTTTATTAGATAGCATTATTCATAATATTAGGGTTGAAATTAATTTATAGATAGGATGGTTAAATTTTTATTTCAAGATAGATCTAGATTTGAATTTAAATTATTTGCTCATATATAGAGATTGATGGAGTGTACTGGAGCTGATTTGGATGAATGTTGATTATTTTGTGAAAGCAATTTAGGGCTCATACAATTTATCCCAAGCCAATATTGATATTGTTGATAGTGTTGCTTTTCACTTTATTGGTCTCCATGAGGCAATATTTCCCTCCTTGTGAAGTATTTTGCAAGCACAGTTGCACACTCAAAAAGCTCTAGTTCTTTCATCAAGAACATTTCAACTCTACATAATAAAATTCTTCTATGCTAAGGGAGCCAATGCTATCTCAATTTCAACTCTTCATAACAAGGTTCTATAACTAAAAGAATCAATGTATTGCAAACACCTTCACCTTAAAATCATTAATTATGAATCATTGTATTGTCAATATAATTAAGGGATTGTTTGGTTCACTAACAAAGAAATAAAAGTAATATATTGTAATTGGAATAATTTGGAGTTTAGTTTAGTGTAAAATAAATGCAAGATTTTACATGTTCTTGTTTGAAGAAAAATGAATTCAATGTGATATACGTCTATTAGTGGTAGTAGTAGCTAACGACAATGATTGGTTGGTGGCAGCGATTGAAAGAGGCGAACAGGTAGCCAATGGCCGGAAGAGGGTAGGCAAGTGATCATGGTGGCGAGCAAGCGACAATGACATGAAAAACCTTACATAAAAGTAAATTTGAAATTCATCTAAATCCAGTGAATTCCAAATGCACTGAAATTGAACTTTTTAACGAATTACAAATGCATGGTAATTTTATACTACATTTATTTTTCTCCTGACCAAATGTCTGGATTTCTAAAGTCCCTGAAAAATGAATGCAATGCCCTCCTTTTGTTGCAATGAAATAGTTCCCAAGTTTAGTTTATCATTCTATCTTTTTATTAATACTTGGGCTTCAAGGATATAGCTTTGTGTTACTACTTATATGGTATGTCTTTTTTATGTCATTTGTTCTTATTTGCCATTTTACCAATATGTAAAAGAGAAATTCATTTATCATTTAAGATATATTTATATTATGTCAAAGTCATTAGAGCCGGTTTAACAAGGAAACTATGACAATTATTGCATATAGTAGGTTAAAGGTTTTAATGGATGATTAATTAATAAATGGCACCGATTCTGGAGCTCTACCTTGGCAATCTTGCTCTCTCATGATTGTGAAAACTTAGGTTCACATAAGTCATATCCATGTTATCTCTCTCACTATCTTTGAGGAATTCATTCAAGTGATACCCTCAATCTCCTATTTACCTCACAATCCTCCCACTATTGTAAAATCTTTCACTCTCTTCAAATAGAATTTCAAAGTCTTGTCATCACTTCCACAGCTTGTTCAACGTCATGCGCATTCTCAAAAACACATTTTCTGAGTGAAGCAAGGAAATTATGATACTAACAAAGAACAAAAGATAATGCAAGTAACCGTCTACGCCACAGCAAACGATACATAGCTAATGATTCAACAGAAAAGACAGCAGCTAACAACAAAAATTAGCATAAAAGTAGAATGGCAAACAAAAAGCAGAAAAAAAGCGGAAATTCAGATAATTCGAATTTCATATTGTCACAATGGAAAATCAAGAGAAAGCAAAAACTGGGAATGAAAAGGATTTTGTGTACTCGATATAAGTACCTATCATCCCGCAACAGCTTGATTCGATGTTCCATCTCCATAGGGCTTAGTTGTTCACCAAGAACTGAATGAGTTGTCTTGTCAGGGATTGCTTTATCATCTTTAGAAGAAACTGTAGCCTGAAGTTTTCCAAGTACTTTTCCTGTTTTTGACAAAAGCAAGAAAGTACGGCATCAACTCCTAAAAACATATAAAAGCAGCATCGCTGAGAAATTGAAACAGAAAATAAGATCTAGAAATTTAAGTTTCACTCAGAACAATTGATTTTCATTATGTTTACTAAAAATATCATAAAGCAAGTCAATAAAGCTGATTTCACTGAAGCACGACATGGTTTTCATCCTTTAAAATAGATGCAATAACAAAAAATGATTAAAAATTAAAAATTTTGGTTTATGAAATGTTTATTAAATGCTATCATGTTTTAATTAAACCTGAGAATTTAATTATAGGCAACATTATTCAGAAAAGTCCATATGATACCGGAGTAAACCCAAACAACAATAGAAAAACTAAAATATCATTGTTGAATTTAAAATAGGAAAATACAATCTCATAAATGAAAATAGAAATAGCAACAGGATACGACACAGCAAACTCAAACTAGGGTGAATCTTGAGGTGGTAGTGGTGATCGGCGAAATTTTGATCCTCCGGAGAAGTATAAGTGAGTGCGTGAAGGGTTGGAATATATGGCTGCAACAAAGGTCTGTTTATAATCATGAGCGGAAGATACAAAGCTGCAGGAACAAAAAGTGTGGTTGCTGTCCTGGGCGATGTTAGCAAGAAAGAGAGGGTTGGACCGCAGGGAAACGGCTGGGAAAGGCTGATTGGGTTGCGGCAGCAAGGGAGGAGGATGGTGGCAGCAAAGGCAGCAATGGCAGCAAGTTGGAATGAGAGAAACGGATGGTTGGGTGGCTGGAACAACAAAAAACAGCCGGGAATGACTGTTTTTGGACAGCTGTAGCAAGGGGGGATGTCGGTGGCAGCAACGATGAATATGGGGAAATGCGGGACAGCAAGGGGATAACTGTTTGGGGTGGCAGAAGCAAGGACAGTGGCTGTAATTGAAAAATTACAGGGAAAATAGCTATGTGTGGTTGTTCAGGGGCAGCTGCAGCAATGAAGGGCGGCAAAGAGTGACGTGGGGACGATGTGGAAGAGGATAGAGAAGAAAATCGCCACCTCAGAAATGAGATACAGCTGGAGCACCACTTAAACCCACAAATACAACCCTCGAAGGGAGAAAAAAGACGTCGACGGCTATCTCGAAAAAAACTCATGCCAAAATTGAGAATCTAAACCCTAATACAACATATATATAAGAAAGAACTAGAAACAAAGAAAGGCTAAAAGGAAACTCTCTTAAAAATATAAAGAGAATAAAAAAATAGTCGTCAATTTTGTCTTTCCACGGCCACATAAGCCATAACTCACATCCGCATTGGGGCATAGCATTTCGTGTCAGCCTTCCGGAGTTGGGGGACATCCGGCCTCCAATGTTGAAGCTTTTATCCCCTCATAGTACAGAATCAGATCGGCCCCATTGAAGGTAGCAGAAAAGTTGCAGACTCCCGGTAAATCAGTCCAACAAACATTGTCATTCCAAAGCATATCCTGATAAAATAAATATACATTCTCTTCTGGCACAACTAGAGTTGGGGCCTCATATTGACGTAGATTCTCATGAGCCAAATCTCAAGCAATTAAATATATAATCTCCATCTCTCACTCCTCGTACTCGGCTGAGTGTGTCTGATAAATAAGTAAAGAGGAAAAAACTCTTGAATGAAATATATGGTTAGCTGGACCACACTAAATGACAACCACTTAGAAGAGACTTCTTCTCTGAAAGAACCTGGATCTCACTGTAGAATATTCTCTTCCCCAAAGATCTTGAAGAGATTTTCAACGTTATAGTTCAGCCATTATGTTTGATCAGTTGTCGAAGGGAACATTGTTAAACTAATTTTAATATTCAAATGAATTCATAAAGTCTTCCACAAGTGGCACAAAAGAGTCTTATTTCTGCATGTTGGACCTCCCTCAGTAGAGGCAAAACAGGAAGCAAGTTATATATCTTAAAAGTCTAAAAATCCCTTATCGAGAGTTGCCATGTGACTAGTGTCAGAATCTCGGACTTAGGACCGTCTTAGACCACCAATGCTAATTCTGTTGGAGTCTCTCATGGGCTCAACTTGAACTACTTTTCTCCTTCATTAGTTGGGATTCGATACTCATTTGTGTGATCACCATCTTCAGTGTGTACTGTGTCATTACACATTTCTTCAATAGCTCACTGCTCAGTGAAATAGATTATACCCTTGTTTGGACAATCTATTGCACTGTGCCCAAAACTGTGGCACATCATGCACTTTATGGCTGGGACAATTTTAGAAGTAATGATTGAATTTACCTGTTCTCCACTCTAAATCAGTTTCTCCTCAGGCAGGGGCTTAGATATTCCCCTGAGTGTACTCCTGCTACTCGATCCTAAGGTTGAACTCTGTCTGCAAGGTGTGGCAGTCATCTAATGATATTATCCCTCAACTTTTGAAGTTGGGGTATGAACATCTAGTCGATGATGAATTGATAGGTAATGGTGTTGTATCTCTCATTTCATTTTGAATCAGGTATTGATATTATTTTTTCTCACGCTGGCGTAAGTGCTTCAAATTTTCCCACCAAAACAACACACTTTTTAAAATGTTGGCAACTAGTTTCACCATTCTGCTGGTAGAACTTCCTGGTACTCTAAGGCACACACAACTGCCTGTAGGCACTCAATGACCTCTTAAAAATACAAGAGTCAGTCAAAATATGGCAAATCTATGTTTACTTCAAGATTCAGGCTCCTCTGATATTTTAGGCAGACTCTTCGGGGTAATTTTTCTTCATCCCTGGAATCTGCGTGGTTGAAGAGATTAACTTCATTCATTTGAACTAGTGAGTCACTGTTATGGCTATAGGTGACCCATCCGGATTTTCTGTTCTTGAAAGCAACAAGCCTCTATTGCAGTTGGAGGACTTCCATGCAAAGCTCCTATACATCTCTTTACAGATTTCTTATAAACAGCATCATGCAATTTCCTCTCGATCAGCCCTCCAGCAATTCTCTTCGGTAGCATGTTTGGGGTTTGTGTTATGGTAGGTGGAAGAGAGTGCATATGGATGATATAGAGTTGGAAAGAAAATTTTTGGGTGGCCAGTTTGAAAAATCAGCAAACGAAAGGATTTTTTTGTAGAGGTAGGGATTGGGTATTGGTGGATGCTAGAAATTCTAGAATATGACTAGAATTAGGCTAACTCTGATACCAAATGATACAGGAGTTAACCAAAACAAAATTAGAAAAATTAAATATTATTGTTGAATTCAAAATAGAGAAATATAATCTCACAAATGAAAATATAATTTGCAACAGACACGATACAACAAACTCAAACAAGGGTGGATCTCGGGATGGTGGTGGTGATCTGTGAGATTTCGGTCCTCTAGAGAGATAGCAAAGAGTGAATGGAGGGGGGGCTGGAAGGTGCGACGGCAGCAAAGGTATGTTGGTAACTGCGAGGGGGAGGTACAAAGCTACAGGAACAACAAGTGTGGTTGTTGTCCTGGGCGATGGTAGCAAGAAAGAGGAGGTTGGATAGCAAGGAAACGGCTAGAAAGGGTTGTCATGATTTGTGGCAGTAAGGGGAGGAGTTACGGTAATGGCAGCAAGCTGGAATGAGAAACGAATGGTTTGGTCGCAAGAATAGCAAAAAACTATCGAGAACGGTTGTTTACGAGTGGGTGCAAAGAGGGGAAATGTCAGGGAGGGACAGAGAATTCGGGGGATTGCAGAACAGTAAGACGACGGCTATCCTAGGTGGCGGTAGCAAGGACAAGTGGCTGGAATTGGAAAACTGTGGTGAAAACAATAAAGTACAATTGTTCGGGGGGGGCAGTTGTAGCAATGGAGGGAGGTCGAGAGTAACATGGGGAGGATGGGAAAGGGAATGGGGAAGAAAACTACCATCTCATAAGCGAGATAAAGCCGAAGCACCACTCGAACCCTCAGATAGAACCTTCGAATGAAGAAAAGAGATGTTGGCGGCTCTCTCGACAAAAACTAACCAAAGCTGAGAATCCAAACCCTAATACAAAACATATATAAGAGAGAACTAGAAAGGAGACATAAAAGGAAACTCTCTAAAAAATATAAAGAGAAAAAAAATGTCGTTGATTTGGTCTTTCCACAGCTGCGACTTATGTCCCATGCACAATATTAAATCAAACTAATATAAATACTAAGCCACAACCAGCACCAAAAAAAATAATAATTGTTTTGAACAGAATGACAAGCAAGCACAAAACCGAAGAAACTTTGGACACTTAATTGTCCCAGTACATGGTTATAAATGTTAACTCAATGAAAAATTGCATTTTTTATATTATGTGCGAAGACAAGAAAAATATATTACTGTTTTTACTTTAATCAAGCACAAACAACAACACAACTGAAAGTAATGGGATACTACAAAAAGTCAAATAATTTATTGAAATATAGACTTAAATGGTATGATATAAGACATTAAAAGAAAATCACATTTACATGCATGATTAGCATAGCATGCATATAAAAAATGAAAGCCAATATCTCATATAATTATATCTTGTTATATTGGCAAGCTATTGCTTTCAATTGCACTGGTTATTCCAATTCAATGAAATTCAAATGCAAACCCTACTACAGATACATGAAAATAGACAGCAATGAAATATAAAATCTAGAAAAATATGTACAAAGACGTTGAATACAGCCTCTAAGAAAATACAGATTTCCCTCAAGTAGCTATACAGTCAACATCATGTCATGGAAATTTTCTTAATAGTTAAAAAAAAAAGTGCCAGTTAAAAAGCAAATGCAAATGAAAATGCAATAGGAAATTTTAAAAAAAAAGAAAAAAATAGTTTTGGTGTTGCACGCTAAACCATTAACCACAGACTCAAAACAATTAGACAATGTACTATCAAAGTATGGTAGAGGTTATACGATGTTTAAAGGAGAGTAGATTATATCAACTATAAAAAAGATACATTACGTTTGAATAGTGAATCCCCGTTAAAGCTTATTTTAGCAATTCTAGCAGGCTAGTAAGAAGTTAATATAAGTTTGAAAAGGCTCAAAAAAATCAAAACTCACCTACAAAATCTCTGCAAATATTTCTGTCAGAGAAATTATCAAACTCAAAAATATAGCCTCCGCCCTGAAAAGATATATAGCTTTTAAGGTAAACATCATGAAGTGCCAGTGGACAAGTAGAAATAGTCACCAAGAAAATGAAGCAAATTCTTTGATAGACTTTCATTCAGATTTGAGAAAAATGTTTTGCAAACAAAGGCATCACAAAAAACAACCATAATAATCAGGAATTGTCAAGTCACATACCTCATGCAGAAGATTCAACAAAGCTTGCTTGGAGCCAACTTTGCTGAACTTGTGAACTGAAATGATAACATATGATAGAAAAGAATGTTTAAATAAACTAAACAAAACCATAAATTACATCTCTTTAAGTTATATGATTTTTTATGAAGGAACCAAAAATTTTAGATTCCACAAGTTGTGCATAACTAAATCGACTGAAACAAACACAAAAGGTAAAAAAACATTTAATGTGAGGAAATACTCATGACTAGAAAGGATGGACAAATGAAGTCAAATGAGTCACTATTCTGGATTTAGAAAATTTAACGAAAGGAAAAGTACAAAAAACTAGACCATATATAATATCCCTTTGAGAAATTAAAATGAGTTCACTGGAACCTAAACTTAGTTCAATCTTGCTTTTCTGTTAATGAAAAGGATGCACAGAAATCATGAACCTTTGGAGAGAAGTTATAGGTGATATTAGCCGAGAAAAAAAGACTGGAAGAGGATTACCAAGTAAAAGATGAGCATGATGAGAAAGCAAGCTGTAGTGATGAGAGAGATGAGAGTCCAGCCAGACATAAGGAAGAGAGAAAGATGTAAGAATTACTTTTCATACAAAATCAGCAAGCATGATTGTTAGATTACCTAGGATCTCCATATATACCAGATGGTCTTTGTTAAAATGACAACGAAATAGTTAACATTATGATTAGAACTAATACATAGCATAAATATGAAATGACTTAACATTTTTTAGATGGTTTGGCATCAACCCTCTTGAGTGTAAAGAATTTGCCTATAGGGGTTGAAGAGTATTTGGAAGTCAAACTAGAAGGCATTGGCATTTGAATTGGTGAAAGCCAGCACACCGAGCATCCTTCTTAGTGAAGTAGAGATAAAAGGAATCAACTTGAGATAAATCCATCCCAAGATGTGATAAAGAAGAGACAGAGGGAAAGAACTACACCATCATTGGCCATTTCATCAAGACAAGTTCAATATAGAATCTCTTAAAATAATCATCTCTGAAATAAGAACTCTAATAGTTTGGATGTCTTCAAGCAAATTGTGGGATCAATGAGTTTTCTCATTCTAAAATAAAAGCAAGGAGATCAATTCAATTGGTTTAAAAAACAATATGAATCTAGTTTATCAATCAAATTGACTGGCTCTTTTTCCTTTCCAAAGAACTACACCATCATTAGCCATTTCATCAAGACAAGCTCAATATAGAATCTCTTAAAATAATCATCTCTGAAATAAGAACTCTAATAGTTTGGATGTCTTCAAGCAAATTGTGGGATCAATGAGTTTTCTCATTCTAAAATAAAAGTAAGGAGATCAATTCAATTGGTTTAAAAAACAATATGAATCTAGTTTATCAATCAAATTGACTGGCTCTTTTTCCTTTCCAAGCTCCTAGCCCAAGTTAGATCTAAATTGATTGAATTAGGTTCATTTAGGGTTTGGTTGACTGATTTGAATTGGTTAGGGTCTACTCACTTGATTGGATTCAGTGTTGGAATTTATTAAGGTATTGGATTTGGGTTAAATGGAGAAATAGGGTGCTTACTTAAGTTGTTTAGAATTGAGGTTCTTTCGAAGGGGAGTCATAGCACTTAAATTTTGCATGGGAAGGCGGGGTAAGTTTTAAGCGAGGTCGGCTAGCGGGGTTGTTATGTGGCAGCATGGTGAGGGGAAATGTACATATGAGAGGTAAGCATGCATAATTATAGCGAGGGGAGGCATAAAGCATTTATAATGATGAAATTAGGTAGAGATTTATCAAGGGATTACTGAGGATTATTTAGGAGGATTATTAGAACGTGCAGGATTTGAATTTTGAAGCAAAGATTGCAAGGAGATTTTATAAAGGAAAGAAGAAGATTTTCAACTATGCTTTATTCAGGAAAGAAAAAACTGCAGCATCGGTCTGTGTGTGAAGCAATAAAGGAAGGCGTTTGGCTATTGTTTCTAAAAAAGGGATGGCCTTCAATTTTCATAAGTTTGGAAAGAATGTACAGGGGTTTTAGATTTACTTCAGGTATAATTTGGTTTGGGTGTGGAGTTCAGTTTAAGGCCAGTTTAGAAATATTGTAAGCTACAATGAGTTTGAAAAGGTGGCGGTGCCCTGCAGCTTGGGACTGCGAAGCTGAAAGTATATACATCAGGAAATCCCTAGAAAGCTTGATATTGATCTCGATCACATTTCAGGTCTTCATCAGAAAAAATGTACTGTAAAATTGCTATCCTTTTTGCTGTATAAGAAACATAATGTGATGTATTTCTGTAAAGGAAAAAGTGATAAGGGGGGTAGCATTACCCACTTCAAGATGTGGAAAGTGGGAAGCCACTTCTGAGAAGAATGTCAGGTCAGCTCACAGATACTTACAATCTCAACTTTTAGTTGTAAAGGATATGAAACCATCCAATAATCCGACTAAAAATATGCAATATGTAAGTGATTGAATCTTTATTTGATCAATCAATGTGTGATTTTCTAAATTCATATTTCCATTATAATTGAAATGATCTTCGGAATAATTATTTGAAGAACATTTAAATAATAAGTGCATAGTAGGTGAAATTTGAATAAGATTAATTGATTCATAAGATACGCATGATAAATAAGTTATATCTTCAAATAATTTCACTTTTAACAATCTATTCAATTCTTATTAGCAAATAGAACATATTGTTTTCTTATTTCATATCCACTTAGCATATAACCTACTGTTTTTCATTTGGCCCATAAAAAAACTTTATTAAAAAGATTTCATTTTCCGCAGCATTCTATGGCATAGAGTATTTGATCATCCAATTTTAGTGTTAGGCTCTCTGATGCCATCTCAAACAAAGTTCTAATGCAATGCCCATATTTAATATGCATATTTGGCTCAACTTTTCTAACACATGTACCCAATTGTCAAACCAAAATTTCCTAAGAAAGAACTTTTGTTTAGTGGAATTGATACCTATGATTTTTAAAGGAAGGACATTGATTACGTCACAATCCTGCAATATCACCTAAATACAAATTTATAATTCGTTGTCAACATTTATCCTTGAAATGTAGGACATAATTACATGTTAGATGCCCTACAATAAAAACTGATAATGCAATACATACCCACTCTAAATTGAAAAAATAGAAAACAAATTAATAAGATAGATTATTAAAGGGAGTAGAATGTCAAAATGTTAAAGGCATTTGGCACCACCAAATTGTGCAAACAAGTTCAAATAATTTCATACGGCACTTTTCTTACTAATAAGAGAGTTTGCATAGGTAAAAATATCATTTTCATTTTTTCCCCGTCAATCAAGAAAATATTCTATTACCAAAAAAAAAAAAAAAAAACTCAATCAATACCGAGGAACGAAGAAATAACTTCAAAAATAAGAATTCTATTGCCTCGCTAAATAATCTCTATCAACACTGAGAATCAAAGGAATAAATCAAAAAATAAAAAAATGGAAATACTGGACCAAATCTCTAAACTCAAACAAATAAGACAACAAGAAAGAGTTCCTTGATGATAACTGGGGCAGAATTCTTGTACTAATGTTATTTATCACAAGGATAAAAATACTTATGTGTGTTGTAGCACATTTACAAATTGCATGGTTGCTAGTTTCAAGTAGGATTTATGTTAGATTTATCCCAACTATTCCCAAAAAGCTTTACAAGAGGTTTCTAAATCCTTCCTAAAGTAAAACTCGAATTTAGCATCATTTAATAAATCTTAGCTCAAATTTATCATTTATCAAATCTTGTACATTAGGATTTAATAAATTTATTTAAGCAGGATGCACTCTCTTTAAATTCTCCAAACCATGGCGCAGCTTAACAAGAAGTAGACTCAAAACAAAAACAAAAAAAGAGAAAAAGAGAATGTTTTGCTGAAGATGTATTAATTGGAAAGTGGTAACCAACCTGCAAAAACGGTTACAAAATACATATATATGCCTCCACTAAATGGCACTAATACTAATTAGCGGACACAAAATTATGGCTAAGATAATAACTGAAATTCAAACACCTCAAATACTAAAGCCAGGCAAGGACGCCACCGCGTGCAGCTGGACCAAACAAGAAAATCAGCTGCATCAAACTGTCTCGAGATTTGATTGGAATTAAGAATTGAGCAACCAGACAATTTACTCATTAGGATTTACTACATCATATTAAATTTAGAATTTATCAAATCGAGATTTACTAAATCGAAAACCAAACAGGCACTTAGCGAGCAGATAAAACAGTACCTTTAATGCTTTTAAAGGAAACATCAAGCTTGAACGCTGATCTAGGATCATGAGGAATGAAAGTAAATCGCTCTTCAGACTGAACAAAACACAAGAACAACAACAATGCAATACAATATATATCAATAAAGGGAATAGCTAACATTAAGAAAAAAAGGGAATACGCGTAAGGAATCACCATCCGTAGAACTCCAGGAATCCCAGGCTCCTTTAGCGATATCCTATACTTAACAGCTTTGTTGATCGCATCCATTCCCTACTTGGAATGGAAATCGGAGTGGGAGTGCAGGGTGTTCAAGCGGAAGATAACGGCCCCACGAAATCCCCAACGCCCTGGGAAAAGGACGGTAACCTAGGGCTTCCCGCAAGCGGCTCACAATTAAGAACTCGGAAGAGAGAGCCGCTAACTTCTCGTCGCCGAACCTTGCCGGAACTCTACATAAATAGAGCGGCTAAGGACAAGGAAGGTCGAGTTCATTATATATGTATTTGACTTGTTAAAATTTCTCAATGTTGGCATTTGATTTGTACTTAATTTATTTATGATAAATAAATGAGTATTTAAATTAGTTAATAAATGAACTAAAAATTCAAATGTATAATTAGATTTTCATACAAAAAAAAATTTAGTAAATAATTTTACAAATTTGATCTCAACTATTAATTTATTGATTATAAATACTAAATCCTAGAATATCTTAAATCTTGTTTCTCCTCCATTTTGCCCTGAATCCCTCGCTTAAGAGATGTTTAGTAGAATAATTTGTGTAGCATTTAAGTATGATTTAACCTAAATCATTCCAAACAACTAAAAATGACAACTTTAAACCCTAAAAAAACTTAACATCAAATATTTATATATCATATATGATATAAGCTATCATCGAGTTATCAACAAACGAGTTAATATTCTATTTAATTAAATTTTATTTAAATAATATATCGTATATCATATGAGTTATTATCGAGTTTAATATCTAGTATTTAACAAGTTACTTATTGAACGACAAACGAGTTTGTTCGTGAACATAAATGAACAAGTTTGACTATATTTATGTGCGGTTCATTTAAGTTTTAAACTTTAAAAAATTATTCAAGTTTGTTATTTACTAATTTTAACAAACATGATCGAGTCTTAATTAGGTTGAGTTCGAGTTGTTCATCAAGTGCACTGATTCATTTACAGTCCTACGGGCAATAATAAATTGAAAGAAAAATCAAGTGTTGAATAATAAAAAATATTAATTCTTGATAAATTGATTTCATAAATTTTAAATTTGATAAGCACAAAATTTAATTCAAACATATTATGCGACAAATTTGATTGAAACACATAAAATTTTGGAGAGTGTAGAATGAACATTTAAGAATTTAATTGTGCAGCACTCAAATATATTATCGCTTCCTCGTCTCTCCTGAGATAAAGGTTTGTTTTTATTCTCTTTCCATTCTCTCGCTACCGAGTCATGTGAAAAGCTTTTCTGGTTTGTCATGGTGTGATATTTTTCGACAAATTTTCTTTCTTATTTTCCCTTCTTTCTGTGATTGCCTTCATTGTGTCGCCTTACTTGATTGTGCAATTCATGCATATTATTTTCTTTTTCTACTCAATGTCGCCCATCCGATTGGGCCTTCTGCGTTCTGCCCCATATTGTCTCTTTTCTCTATTTAATAAGAACATGGGTTGGGATATTCAACGTCTTGTAAATGAACTCCCTCCTACATTTGCTAGACTTCTCCAACCGAGTATCTCCTATATTTTCTAGACCTCCTCCAACTAAGCCCCTCTTCTCATTCCTCTTCCCTTTTCTATGTTCTTATTCCTTTTGATATGTTTCTTTATTCGAGTATGATAATGTACTTTTTCTTTCTTTTTTTAATTTAAATCTAGTTTTGTTGAATATGAGATAGCTTGTGAATCACACCTAAGAAATATAGTGTAAATAAGGAGAAAGAAAAAGCGAGATGAATAATAATGAACAACAAGCAATCATGTCTTCTTCATAAAATGATTATTCTATTTATAGAGGAAATCATAAAATTAAGATATTACATTTTTACCCCCATTCAGAAGGAGTTTGTAGTTGGGTATTTCTAGCATTTAACTAATGTGGGCTTATCATCCAATTGCTTTCTAGCTCATCCAGCTAAGCTTACTTGACTTTGAATTGACGAGGTCAGTTCGGTTGGTTGAGCTTGGTTGGCACTTCGGTCGATTAATTTGGTTTGGTTTACTTCTTTGATTCTTAGCGAGTTGTCTTTGGAGTCTCAACGGAATGGTTAAAGATGCTTTTCAAAATTTGATCTTTTTTTAGATCAGCTCTATTGGGAATAAGTTATCGCGTCAAGTCAGATTTTTTGTAATTGATGGTTCGAATGCTCATTTCTCTCATTTTAGGTCAAATGGCATGTGTTTGGATCATCTGGTGATCTTCTTGTCCACCTTGTCGCTAGGTCGATCTTGGCTCATATGGTTTTGTTTGTTTAGTTAGGTGGCCTTAAAATCTCCTGACAGTGGGCCAACCTCCGTAGTACTCTTCTCTTCTCGATTATTAGATCTCCTTAACATGAACACAAACACTCTTCTTTTTGCATATTTTAGTTGTTCGATTCTCGTACTTCTCGGTGCCACAGTAAGGATAAGAGAACTTAATGCAAAAGCATTATATATTAAATTTTAATTAATAATTCAAGGATTGAATTCTACTGCTTCTAGGCGCAGCCACACCCTGGGGCTCATGCAAGTGCACATATCGTATCAGTAATACCGAATTTTAGAGTCCGGAAAGTCAATCCCACATGGAGCAAGGGAATTAGATTTAAGAAAAGTTTTAGCTTACATGTTTAAGTCCTAGACTAATTAGTTAAATAGTTTGTTCAATAATCTAACTACTATGTCACAACAAATAACAAATTTAAACCCTACACAACTAGTCCTACTTAATGTTGTTTGGGTTGATGAATATCAAGTTCTTAAAATACTCTCCCTTTTAATGATGTAAGTAGATTACAGGAAATGTAAAGTGCAAATTATTAAATAGGCTAGTGAAAAATAAGAGTAACACTCATCTTTTTCCTCTTTCGAAAACAACTTTAATTTCTTAAATTTTGTAATAAACCAGTCAAAACATATTTCCCTAACGTTTGCATCTACCTACAAGGCATATAAAATTATACCCCATAGTTTAATGTGACTAACCTAGTTGATTCTACCATTACTCTCCGGAGTCATTATAGTTCACAATGCATTTTAAAATTTCACTTGGCCAGGATGAAAAATAAATGAAGATCTGAAAATTAAGCATGATATTTAATAATTAAAAGTAATTTAAAAGCACTTTGCATTCCTATCTGTCCTACCTATTCATAACAAGGAAAGGTTAAGAAATCTACTCAGAAGCATGAGAAAAACACCACACAAATCCATTGAAACAAGAGAAATCTAATATCCAAATGTTCACAAATGAAATACAACAATAAAAACAAACAAAACTTATCTTCCTCTCCTTTACAATTACCAGAAGATGCTTAACTAATTCTCTTCCTGACTTCTGGGTTGCTGCTATTGAAGACTCTTGCTATCCTCTGCACTAGGAGAAGAATAAGAAACTCTACATCAAACTAAACCCTCAAATGACAAAACCTCATCAATCTTAAGTCCTACCTTAGTCAATCATCCCCGAAGAGCATCAATCCTCATAAGGCAGCAATCCATGACTATATATAGACTTTATTACTTAGCATACAAATCACTCTACGTCCTCTTACACAACTCCCCACGACAGGCGTCCGGAACTGCCAAAACTGTTCCAGGCAGTTGCTAGCGCCGAGACGCCGGTCTCTCTTTATGTTGTAGAAGGCATGGGCGTCTTGACGCTCATAGGTCTGACACCTAAGTATCAGTATCACGATGCCTAGGCACCTCGTGGTTGGTGCCTAGCACCAACCTCTTAAGTTGTCCAGGGAAGGGACTGGCGCCTAGGAGCCCTGGGGCCCGACTCCTAGGCACTGATCCTCAATATGCTTCTTTACTCCAAGTCCCCTCCACGTTTTCTCACTTCAACAACCTATTGTACCTCAAAGAAAAACATAAAAATACATTACTTTAAAATGCAATTGCATCCATAAAAAATTGTAAATCATAAAGAATTATTAGTATACTTATCTACAAATCAAAATCCCCCAAACTTAAATGTTACTTGTCCTAAAGTAACACTAAAGCTTGAATACCAATTTAGTTAACTTATTGGAGTGGGTTTCATAAAAAAAGTATCAACAATCATGCCTTAAGAGATTCATCGTGATGAAAATATAACTCATTTGCAAATAAGTCTAGACCATCGTTAGAGCAAAAAACTTGATACTGCTTATAGATACAACCACACATTGGGGGCTTACGCAAGTGCACGTGTTGTGTCAGTAATATCAGATTTTAGAGTTCAAAATGTCACTCTTACAGGGAGCGAGGGAATTAGACTTAAAAAAAATTCTGGCCTACTATTTTAAGTCCTAGCCTGAATAGTTAAAACTGTTTAAGTTCAATAATCTAACATACTGTGTCACAACAAACGACAAATTTAAATCCTACACAACTAGTCCTACTTGATGCGGGTTGGATTGATGAATATCAAGTTCTTAAGATACCCTTCCTTCTAATGATGTAATTAGATTACAGGTGGGGCCAGTGACTAGGCGCTGCTTACCCAAGGAAGGGGCGATTTGGCGTCGGGTGGGCAGCACCTAAGCGCCCATGTAACCTAGTGGAAACTAATATATTTTTGAACATGCTTAATTTCATTTATAATTAGCACTTGTTTTATATATGTAGTTGAGCATAATATAATATTTATTTGCTAAATGTAGGTCATATTTTCTATATCATGTGATTTACATAATTGCAATTTATTTGTTTTATTACATTTGGATGTTTGTTGTATTTATTTTTTGTATGATTATGTTGGTATCATATAGAAAGTTGGCTTGTTGGTATCATATAATGAGTTGGTTGGCCATCACATATTGAGCCTATGCATATTGGTATGTTGATGTTTGTTCTATATATTATTTATTTGCTTTGGCCAAACACATATATTTAGATATTTTGTTGGATTTAGATGTTAGTTTTTTACTTGGTTGTTTTAAGTATGATGTTGCTAGAGATTTGTTGTTCATCCTTGTGGAAGCTAGAAATTTGGTTTTCTTTACTAGATGTGAATGACCCATCTAAGAGATTTGTTATTCCACTTATGGTAACTATTGGTTTTCATTGTTGGATACCATTTTAAAAATTTGCAACTAAGAAATGTTGATTAATTCAAGTCGATTATCATTAACTTAAATGGTATTTCGGTGTATTGATGTTGCTCAAGAGATTAATTCTAAAGTCCTCTATAGCTATTATGTCATAACAATATTGTCTAACACTAATGAAGATAAAAGAAGTTTAAACATAAATTTTTGTATGAACCTCTATACTTGGAATTGATATTTCAAATTTGATATATTTTGAAAGTTATAATAATGGATGAAATATCTTTTTTAATAACTTATTACTAATTTAGTTATTTATTTATTTGTTTTATTATTTTGTTTGTAATGTGAGCATATAAACATTATTCTCAATCAATGAGGTCACAATATTTTATGAGACTAGATATTAAAGTGTAGATAATATTATCAAGCTAAAATTTGTTAGTGCTTGAATTGTAATTTTATAATGTATTTATTAGTATAATGTATTATAATGAAGTTGTTTTTTACTACACAATTTGAGTTAGAGATTCATATAATAATTGTAAATTTTCATTAATAATACTTATTTATAATTAGATATATATTCATCTTAAAAATTTTATGTATGTTTTATTTAATAAAAATTTTAAATTTCTTCATTAATTCAAGCAAATTCAAATCTAAACGAGCAAAACAAGCTCGCTACAATTAACGCATCAATCTCAAACTTCATATTATCAATAAATAACTTTTTAAACATCATGTATAAACAAACAATGAGCTCGCTCAAGCCCAACTCTTTTATACCTCTATTTAGAATTTTTATTCAGCTTTTCACTTCTTTTACATTTAATCTATTCAGCTTTTGTACCAAGGTGTAATAAGGTCTTGAAGTGACTCCATGCACAACATTGGATTCACATAAAAAAAAGGGTGTTTTTTTTTGTATTGAAGAGCAACAATACATAGGATTTTGTATTGTTTAATATTGATAGTTCTTAACTTAGTGAGAACTGATCATCTTATATTTGCAAGCATATTTGATACAGAAAGTTTGAACTGGTTCAAGACATCTGTCACCGTTAAATAATAATTAATAACAGTTTAAGGCAAGTGGGTCATAAGTACAATTAATCATGACTACACTGATATTTAACATGAAGATCGCCTTAGCGAGCCTGACCATCTCATTTTGGCCATTGACTATCTTTGGGCATCTTTGTTTGAGAGTGGGTGAACTTGAGACTTTACAAGGACGAGCAAGCGTTACCTACATCATGCATTTTGCGTTTTCTAGTTTATCAAATTCTCCATCCCCTCTCTCATGAATATAAAACTTGATTGAAGCCAAACCAAGTAATCCATAATGTCACATTATTCGTGTTTAATAAACTTACTTGGTGCGGCAATGTACACACTCTTGATGACACTTGCATGAAGATTTTGACTTTATCATTACAACACTAATTCCTGGATTCACTTGACTAAAGTGGTTCTCACTCAGCAAACTGGCTTTAGAACATTCTCTGCAGGATTCATTTCAGGAGATGATAAATTTTGTTGATCGAAAAGACAAATCCGCAATATTTTACAAAGTATTTTTATTGCCAAAAAGCAAATATTTTGAACTATCAGATGATAATCTCAGTCAAATCACCAGCAGTAGTTACAAAAGGTATTCCACCTCTGATCTTCCAATCAGATCACCAATAGTCCTTGCAAGAACACTCCCCGTCCCTAAAATAATGCAAGCACTTCCTATCCTTGATCAGAATGATCCTACCATACAACTTGGAAACAAGCTTGGCTGTTCCATGGCATTTTGCACACATCCTCACATTCTTAACTATTCTTATCACTTTTAAGGAAGCTCCACTCACAAGGGAGTATAGTATTGCTTTCCTCTCACAGTGCATTTCATCATCATCTTCCAGCTCTTCCTCAATGTCAAGCCTTGTACCTGTGATGCTTGCAATGTTCGCCTTGATCTCCTTCTCTATTCGTCTTAATTCTACCAGCTTAGTAGATACAGACTCAACCATTCTGTCACCAACAAAAACTGTATAAACCCGGCATCTATCTTCCATCCAGCAACAAGAATGGAAGCCATATTCATCACTCTCCTTCAATGGCTTCTTCATGTCTGGTATTTCAGATGAGCTGCCACATATAGCTTGTAAACTTGAAGATAGACATTGCAATATTGGATTTTTAGGTTCTAATTTAATCAGGTTCTCAGTTGCAAAACTAGCAAGCTTGACATTACCACAATATCTCGCTGCTGTAAGTAATGCGTTCCAAACAGTGGAGTCTGGTTCAACAGGCATTTCCTTGATCATACTATAAGCTTCCACAAGCCGTTTAGACCGGCCGAAGAGTTCAACCATTGCTGCATAAAACTCCATGCCTGGAGAAAAGTTCTGTTCTGTAATGTTCATGAAGAGCTCCTTCCCATCATTCACCAATCCATCAAAACCATAAGAACGAATCAAACTGGTGTAAATTGATAGATTTGGCTTCACTCCTTCATTTTCCATGCGATGGAAAAGTTCCTGAGCCGGTTGGGAACAACCATGGAAAACACATCCAGCAATCACTGAATTCCAAGAGATATAATCTCTGGCATGTAGCGTGTTAAATGAAACACGAGCACTGGTTAAGTCACCAGACTTGGAGTAGATATCAATCAATGAATTCAAAATTGGAAGATCATGATTCAAACCGCTGCGAAGCACATAGGCATGGATCTCCTTTACCTTCCATGCTGACACCAAATTCGCGCAAGCTGGAAGTATGCTTAAGATCGTAATGGAATTTGATTTCTCGGAACCGAATTGCATTTGACGAAAAACCCTAAAAGCCTTGTTTGCTTCTCCATTCTGCAAGAAACCAGAGATTAGGGCATTCCATGAGGCTGCATTCCTTCTAACACCAGCAGCTTCCATTTTCTGAAAGTGTTCAACTGCTTGTTCTTCCTCCCTGTTCTGAATGTACCCAGAAATCATCACATTCCATGTCACAGGATTATCCTGAAGACCCAAAGTCTCCATCTTGGTGAAGAGTTCATGAGCCTTCCCGCAGTACCCAGCCTGCATGTACCCTCCTATCAATGAATTCCAAGTAAAAACATCCTTCTTATCAATGGCATCAAATATTCTTTCAGCATCTTCTAGCTTCCAGCATTTTGAATATAAGTCTACCAACGAGTTAATCACCAGTAAATTAGCTGCACCTCCATTTTTAATGGCGTAGCAATGAAGCTCTCTTCCATTTTTTAGATATTTAAGAGTAGCGCAAGCAGAGATGGCGCAGGCGACCGTCATGTTGTTTGGTTCGATATCGGATTTCAACATCTGTTGAAAGAGATCCAGAGATTGGTTCATCTTCTTGTTCTGCAGCAAACCTGAGATTATGCAGGTCCATGTGAAGACATCAGGGACGATTTTGCTGCTCTCCATCTTCTTCATCAGCTCAAGAGCAATTTTTGGTTTCCCACACTGGCTATAACTAGAGATAAGTATATTCCAGGTGATCAAGCAAGGTTCAATCCCTTCATTTCTCATTTGCTCAAATAACTTCAAAGCTTCATCGTTTCTGCCGCAGTGGCAATGCGCAGAGATGATTGAGTTCCAACTTACTCTATCCCTCACATCAAGTTTATCAAAAAACTTCTTCGCCGTGATCAAATCTCCGCACTTTGCGTACATGTTGAGTAAAGAGTTTCCAACATGGCTCTCCTCCAAAAACCCTAATCGGATCGTAAGCGAGTGTAGTAGCTTGCCGGTGACAACGTCCTCAATATTAGCGCATGCCTGTAGAATCTTGGGCAGCAAGAAGGCATCTGGATTGATGCCTTCAAGAACCATATGATGGAATAGGCCGACAACTTCCTCCCACTGGTTATCCCTTCCGCAGCCTCCAATCATAGCAGACCAGGTGAAAAGATTTCTTTGGCGCATCTTTTCGAACACCTTGCGGGCATTGTCCAAGTCGCCACATTTCGCGTACATGCTGACGAGCTTGGTCTCGACGAAGGGGTTCGGGTTCTTTACATAGGGAAAAGAGGAATGGAGAATGCGGCCAGCTTCAACCGAATTGGAATCGATGCAAGCTTGGAGAAGAGAGAGGTAGGTTCGAGTTGTGATGGGAGTCCCGGGGTGTAGAGCAGAAACGGCCTCTTGGAGCTTTCCGGCACGGGAAAGGCGAAGGAGCTTTCGCTCTCCCGGCCTTCCAGTTTGGGGGGGTAGCGTCGGCGGTGGCTCTGCTTCTGAGGACGCGGCTTTGAGGTTTTGGGTTGGGGGTGAGATTTGGGAAGAAAGATTGTTAGAAATTTGAGGTTTGAAGAAGGGAATGAGGATTTGATTTTGCGATTTACAGGAGAAGAAGGGATTCTCCATCATGAGTAAGAGACTGAGCAAGCTTATCCCTACGCTCTTTACATCTCCTGTAGTGTGTGTGTGTGTGTGTGTGTGTGTGTGTGTGTGTGTGTGTGTGTGTGTGTGTTTACATTTGGCTCCTAATGTTTCATTTCACAAAAATTTTTCTTCTTTTGTTTATATATGACATCTAAAGTTAAATATTTATATTTATAGCTGATAATGCCATAAAAATAGTTTTATCATTTCATATGAATCTCCAGAAATTTTTTAGCAAAAAAAAATATATATATTCAAATTCAAGATTCTTCAAGCTTTTCATAACTTTCGTCTTACGTAACTACCGATCTTCATCGATACTGCCCGTCGCCGCCATCGATAACCCCTTTTCACTGTTGTCAGTCACATGTGCTTGCTAATATTGTATTCTAAATACGGTCTTAACGTGTAATGTTGTATTGAAGGTCCTAGGAAAACTTGCATCCGTAGCAACTGGTGGCTAAAACCTCCACACGGTCATCGCACACCACTGCTTACCTTTGCTCGCCGTCATCGTCTACGCTCTATTGCTATTTTCGTATCTCAAATATGATCGTAATATTTAACGTTGTACTGAAGATTCAACGATCGTTTCATGCAACTATTACTTGCGACCTTCATATTCATAGGACCCTCAAAGTTTTATGTGAGTTATATACGGACAAATGTTGTATCTAGTGTAAAATTATAACCTTACTCTCCCAGTCGTGAGAAAATGATTTATCTTTGTATTTACAAACTTATAATAGACTACTTTGATTAGGCTATAACCTATGATTTTTTTCTTTTTTTTAAAGATTTTTTCACGTAAAAAATCATGATGTCTTGTCGTACTACTTTTCAATTATTTGTATGTTTGTTAGATCTTCATGCAACACCAAAATGTTAAATAATCACTCGGCCTCCACGAATTTTCCAGTACACAACAATAACATTGAAGAAGACACCACCAAAGAAGAAATCACCACAATATGAAGGCACCACAGTAAGAAGACACCATAGCAAGAAGGCACCACACAGAGAAACCTTGTCAGTGAGAATCACGCACAAGAGAGAGAGAGAGAGAAGAGAACTTACCTTTTCTGTGAGAATCTCGTCAGAGAGAGAGGCAACCCTATTCGTAAGAATCGCGTGAAAGAGAGGAGAGAGTTTAGGACAATTATTGAGAGAGGGAGAGACAGAGAGGGGATCGCTAAAGAGAAGCACACCACTAGGGCAAGACGAGAGAACGAACATCGATGGTGAGGCGAGGGGCAACCGAGTCACGAATAAGGAAGGAATGCAGTCAACAAGGGCATGCCCACGGTCGCGTTCCTTCGACATTTTTTAAGAAGTCACTGCGCCGCGAGTCGCCAAACGGCCCCATTCGTGTCTCCATGTTGCATCGTGACTCTGTTGTAGCCCTAAACGGGGCCGAAATATCTCTATAATTTTCTCATGAACATAAAAGATACGGCAGTTACTTACATGAAATTTTCTTATAATTTTGCATTTATTAAAATAAATAATTCTAGAAATTGAAATATATTTTCAAAAATTATGAAATCACTTATGAAACATTAGTTGGCTTATGGGCGAGCATTTTATTCAATTGGGCAGTAAAATTGAGTATTATATGATAGTTTATTAACTTTTCATAAGAAAGGTATATCTATAAATTTTATACCTTAAAACTCCTTTCAACTAAAATTGAATTATATTAAGGGAAAAATGGGTAAAAGTTATCATAAAATGTTACTGGGAAGAATAAAACATGATGGGTTAGTTAGTAATTCAATCAAATCAATAAAATATGCAAAAGGTTATAAGTGTAATTAGTAAATTGTTGAGAATTTGAAGCTTTAAAGTGTGTGGATGATTAAATTGTGGGTATTATTGTTTGGAGTTTCTTAAACTTACTGATTGAAATCCCCTATTACAATTTCATTGAATTTGCATAATAACTTAAATTAACTAATCAAATTGGAAAAATTATAAATTTATCTCAAGTTAACATTAAAATAGAGGTCAATTAAGGGTCCGTTTGGGGCAGCTTGTGCATTTCAGAATAAGCTGTTTATCCTGAAACGCGATCCGCAGGCCGGCCGCGGGCGGCGGGCGGCCGCCGCCGGCCCGCCGGGGCGCCCGCCGCGCCGTCGCCCGCACTTATAAACTGCCCCAAACAGACCCTAAATAAAATTATTGAAATTTAAGAATTGACTTGAATCAAATAAGTGAAGAATACATTAATAGATATATAGTGAATTTTGATGGTTTTGAAAGTATTTTAGGATAATTTTGTTATTTTCTTCAAAATTGCAAGATAACCTTTGTTACTTTAGGAACTTCAAAATGCACTATATATGGCTCAAAATCACTAAGATTTAAAATGAAACCCTTCATTAAGATATGAACAACAAATTATTATAAGAATTTATGAACTTTGAATTGGTTTTGAGGTAGATTTGTAAGTTCTTTTGGATTTGCAAAAGTACCCCTATTATCTTTTCGTTCACTAAATGAAAGAAATAGAGGTGATGAAACCCAAACAGTGAACCAAATTATTAATCAAATGAAGAGAAACCTTTAAAAAATATTTCGAACCAAGGTAAAAGTGGTTGAAGTATAAATAAGGTATTTACAAATGTACCTTTCTTAGTAAAATTGGAATAAGTTCTCTTATAAAACTCCAAATTGCATGAAGTCTTCACCCATAGGTCCTTTGAATTGAGATAAGTAAACAAAATACAAAATTCACTGATTTATTCTTTTCTTGATTATCTTATATTAATAAACCTATTAATAAGTTCAATAATTCATGAAAAATTTAAAATGATCATGAAATGACTTAGAAAATTTTATAGTTTTTTGGAATCATATTCCAAATATTTAAGTAAAATTTCATATTTTAGAGATCATTTAGACTTATTATGAATTTTTGAATAAACTCATCTTTAAAAGTAAGGTAATTCTAATAAATCAAATAAGATGCAAAAGATAACAATATTTTAACATGAAGCTTTTCAACTTAATATACATTCATGAAAATTATTTTACATTATTTAGAAATCATTTAAGTCAAAATATCTAAAAACCTAAAAATTATAAATTTTTTAGCAAAATAATTCATAAAAATTCACAAAACAAACAAAATTTCTAAATAATGTATTGATTGAGTTTATAAGAATCAAATTCACTTTTTTAGATGATTTATGGGATCTTATAAGCGCTAATAATATTAAACATTGATATATGTCTTCAAAAACATATAAATATGTTTAATTAAAAATAAAAATGATAATAAGTATATAATAATAATAATAGTAATAATAATAAATAATTAAACCTTTGAATTTATGAGGGCTTCTTGAAAATGCAACCAATGGTTGTTGACAAAAGTCTTTTGGTCTAATCAGGTTCAACTACCTCTCTAAAGTAAGTAAATCTGAAACCACCAGCAGCACCGGAATGACGGAACCATGAAATCTTAATAAGTATTGCAAAAAAAAAAAATTTAATTAGTTTTCAATAATCACTTCTATCATAATAAATGTTTTATATGCTCACTAACCTAAATATGTTTTGCAGAGCTGCTGTAAGTAAATAATAAGAACCCATGATAGACCTTTCATGGCATTATGTTCTTTATTTCTTGGGTCATTTTCTTTATAGAGTTAGGTGGTGTTGTGGTTAGTCAACTATCAACTTCTGAGATACCCAAAAGAAAATGAAACATGAAGCGAAAGAAGAACCACAACTAAACTATTGAGGTTATCTCAAATGATATTGATTAACGAGTCTGACATAATTTTTTAAGATTTTGAGGTTCTTCGTTTAGTATGTTGTAAATCCTCACACCCTGTTAGGATGTTGCATGATTGTATGTCGTAATATAATTCGTAACTTTTTAGGATTCTGAGATTGTTCGTCCAATACGACGTAAATCCTCACACTTTTTTTCAGGCTTTTGCGTGATTGTATATTGTGTAACATAAGTCCTAAATTTCTAAATAAACTGTAGGATTGAAATATCAAATAACCTCCCTTTCAAATATGTAAAGCCAAATCATGGGACAGTTGAGATGTCACTAATGTTTCCTTAGTGTCTTCGACCTCTCATACTTTTCATTTCTTTGGATTCAAAAATAATTATTCCAGATTAAGTCTTTCCCCATTTATTTTCCTATAATCAATCGTGGAAACTAAACTTTAAATTTTTTAAGGCATAATCCCAATCTCAATTGATAGTTTTCCTATGTAATTTTGATTGCTTAAGATGTAATTAACAATAGGGTATTGCACCTATAAGAAATTAGTAACCCAGATAATCTAAATTCTATCTAATCTTTGGATTAAATAGGGGAAATATCTATTGGTATTTTTTGCATACCAAAAAAATATCCTAAATTTCTTTGTTTGAATAATTGAACCAATTATTAAGTAATATTCTCATCTTTTAAGGTGATATATTACTTATAATGTCGTGTTGAATTATTTTAAAAAAAAATATTCGAGATCTGTCCTATTTTATTTTCAAAATCAAAATTCTTTTTCAAAAAAAAAAAATAAAATAAAACCAACAAAGAAAAAGATATAAATCAATACTAGAGATGGAGAGAGGAACCATCCCCAATAGAGTCGCTAGGAAACTGTATGTGGAAAACTTTTATTATCGTATCTATCATAGGTAATTCAAGAAGACTTCTATCTAAGTGGCGAGGCATGACAATCAAAAAACAACAGACAATTCCAAAGAATAAAGATATTAAATTTGAATGAGACTGATCACTTGGATGAGGAAGACCTCCTTAATTCACGGGTCTATGAAAACATGATTTTTCTCTTATCTTACTGCAGTAAAAAAGTTTAATTTATTATGGGGTGTCAATTTCCTTATGAGGGGGTTCCCTCATACTTAATTACATCAAAAAATTATGGCTTTCAATAAAACTCTATATTAAAGTATTGGCTTATATCAGACTAGCTTGATTGGTAAATGTCTGTGAAAGGGTTGAAATTGAGACACAGATTGATAACTTTAAAGTTAGAAATAACGTGAATAGAGTTGAGGCTT